GTCGACTTCCGTTACAACCGGAAGTGCTGGAGAGTTCTAGATATTTTAGTTGTGTTCGCCCTAGGGACCTTGCCATGTTGCCAAATTTTAAAATTTTTCGGAGCGGTACTTTCCTAGATATCGATCAACGCAGTTCCCGGTGGGACAGCCTGTACATATAGAAGTGATGAATACGGATACCGAATCACTGTCAGATAAAAGTATGCAATACTTGGATACCGATTACACAAATACTGTATCGAGCACAACTCGTATATACCTTTAGACCAAGCAAATTAAATTTTTACTCGAAAAAAGTCCTATTCCGCTAAATTATTGTAAAATTGTCTAAAGGAACATAATATAAGACATCTCTCGTCTCGTGAGTCAAAAACTTTTATCAGCTAACTTTTCTATTTAAACAAATAAGTGAGAAAAACAGTTTTTTCACTTTGCAGGGAATACCATCAATTTTAGCGAAAAATGACAGCTTATAGGGATTAAAATAATCTACAAAATGAGACTAGTTAAATTAAAATCGGTTAATAAACAAAAAAGTNTTTTGAAAGTTCTCAAGCCATTAAAAAAACATTTTTTTTCAATCTACCAATTTTTTTAATATAAAATTTATTAACAACTTTTTTCGACATTGATAAGTATTCAATATGAAATTATGAAAAAAATTACGTAATTTTTTTTTGAAAAATTTGATTTTTTTTTCCAAAATTTTGACATTGGTACAAACATTAGTACTTTTCGCAATATTCGCAAAGTAGTCGTTGATTTTCCAAAACAACAGAAAATGTAATTTTTTTGCACTTTTTAAAATTCATGCTGAATATAAAAAAATATTCTCAAACATATCAAAAGGCCCTTGAAGAGGATTGATTCAGGTTTCCAAAATCCACCTTCCGTTCTCTGTACGATCATTATTTCATGAGATATCGAAGATAGAAAAAAGGTGACGTTTCACTCAATAGCCGATATCTCAACGAGAAATTTGTAATCGTACAGAAAATAAAAAAAAAACAAATTGAAGTTGAGGAATCAGGATAAATGACCTGGCGGTTTTGAAAAAAAAAAATTAAAAGTTTTGCCTCACATTATTTCTTTTGATTGCGACGAGAATGATGCTTAAAAAAATTGTCATCTCAAATACCAATCCTAAAGTCATACATATACAGGGTGTCCCACCGGAAACTGCGTCGATCGATATCTAGGAAAGTACTGCTCCGAAAAATTTGAAAATTTGGCAACATGGCAATGTCCCTAACGAACACAACTAAAATATCTAGAACTCTCCAGCACTTCCGGTTGTACCGGAAGTCGACACCAACTTCGTTATTTTAAATGGGACACCCTGTATATTATTGCATTTTCGTATTCTACGTTAAATTTGAGGGCCACTTTATTAAATATTTCCTATACTTAGGAGTTATAGATTTTGAGATATTAATATTTAAAGAAAAAATTTGACAGATGCAAGGGTCCGCGGAGATGCTGGTAACTCTTTTCAGGAGCGTGATATCAAGTGGATTTTTGGTACCTGTAAAAGGTACCTGTAAACACTAAATTATGGTATACCAACAAATTGAAACATTTAATATTAGGTGTTACATTTTGATAACTTCAAACAGCTATAACTTTGTCAACTTAAACGGAACACCTTGTATTTTTTTGCTCTGTCGTATGCAGATTGGAATTTCCCTTCAAGCCATATAAGCAATATCGGGGATGCCATTAATACTTTTACAGATATTTGCAATTTTCTATTTTTTGGACAGTTTTTCTCGTATCAGACCTGTTGTCAAATTGGCCATAACCAGAAACACTCCAAAAACAAATGAAATAACTTGACATTTGTCAAGTTAGTTGTCAAACTATTGTTATGTCTGAATAGTTTTTGCCGAAAATGTAAATAAAAATGCCTGGGGATCTTTTTAATTATACTAATGAGGATTATTTTAATTTGTTTGTTATTTATGAAAAATGTGACAAATTAATTTCAATAACATGTGGAAAATTTGCTGCTTTTTCCATAAATGACAAACAAATTAAAGTAATCATTAGTATAATTTAAACGATCCCCAGGCATTTTTATTTAAATTTCTAGCAAAAACTATTAAACATAACAATAATTTGACAACTAACTTGACAAATGTCATGTTCTTCCAATGGTTTTTTGAGTGCTTCTGGTCATGGTCAATTTGATAACAGGTCTGATATGAGAAAAAGTGAAAAGGTGTTCCATTTAAGTTAACAAAGTTATAGCTGTTTGAAGTTATCAAAATGTAACAGTAACAATGAAACACCTAGTATTAAATGTTTTAATTTGTTGGTGTACCATAATTTAGTCTTACTTATGTCCTTTACAGGTACCAAAAATCCACTTGATATCACGCCCCTGAAAAGAGTTACTAGCATCTCCGCGGACCCTTGCATCTGTCAAATTTTTTCTTTAAATATTAATATCTCAAATTCTATAACTCCTAGGTACGGGGAATATTTAATAAAGTGACGTAGAATCCGAAAACGCAATAATATATAGGGTGTCCCATTTAAAATAACGAAGTTGGCGTCGACTTCCGGTACAACCGGAAGTGCTGAAGAGTTCTAGATATTTTAGTTGTGTTCGCCCCAGGGACATTGCCATGTTGCCAAATTTTAAAATTTTTGGGAGCAGTACTTTCCTAGATATCGATCGACGCAGTTCCGGGTGGGACACCCTGTACATACAGGGTAGGAAAGTACCGATGGTCTATCTGAAGTTCCGTGAGAGCGATAAAGTAAGCCATAGAAATCCATGCGATAGAGAAGGATGGCTATAATGAAGGCGTCTCATAGTCACCGCCCGTTTTGCCCTTCCACAAATAAGATCCACTTCTTATTTGTGGAAGGGCGAAATGGGCAGTGACAATTAGACGCCTTCACTATACCCATCCTTGTCTATCACATGGATTTCTATGGCTTACTTTATCGCTCTCACGTAACTTGAGATAGACCATCGGTACTTTCCTAGCCTGTATAGAAATGATGAATACGGATACCGAATTAATGTCAGATAAAAGTATGCAATACTTGGATACCGATTACACAAATACTGTATCGAGTACAACTCATAAATACCTTGTATTCGAATAATACCCAGCTCTGATCCTATTCGTATTATCCGAGGTGTTGTCTGTGTGATTATAGAAAAGACGAGATCCTTAAAGTTCGTTTAAAAAATGTGGACGGGTGCAACTGAAATATCGTCCGATCTATGACAACCTACCTGAGGACACTCTTGAGTTTTTTTGATTTCGCCGGTTATTTTTCGTTTCTCCGCGACTCGCCAGTGCCTACTTCGGAAGCGTCCGACGCCGAGATCGAAGAAACAAACGACGAATCTCGCGAATCCGTCAACGACTGCCAATTTTGGGAGGAGCTCGTGAACATGAACCACCACCTGAAGAGAAGAAACAGCAAGAGGTTCGTCATCGGCGACGGCGAAGACGAGCCTTCGGTTAATATCCCGGAGATGACCATCACGGAGGCGACGGGCGACGAACACGCCACTTCCGACTGGATATCCATCGAGAACAGCAAACTGAGAGTCAGGGCTTCCTTGACGTAAGTTGCGTCACAGCATGTTTTTTTTACAATCTGGAAGATAAACGCGTGTGTGTGTTATGGCCAAATATGTTGTCCTTTGAATAATATTTTAGCTATACTCTGTATACAGAGTGTAACTAAAACTTTCGTCGAAATTCTACGTCACAAATAAACGAAAATTATACACATGTCAACGCGTTACTACGAAAACATGCTATCTCAAATTAAGTTTGGAAAACATGCTAGCTCAGATCTTTTTAAGGAAAACCATGGTCTCTCACACAAAATTAAATTCGACTAGAAATGTAAGTTGCCTGCATTGGCGTTGAAATGCACATTGAATGATTGAAACCGTGCATTTGTAATAAATGGGCGGTGAGTATTAGACGCCTTCATTATAGCCATCTTTCTCTATCGCACGGATTTCTATGACTTACTTTATCGCTCTCACGTAACTGCCGATGAACCATGGGGACTTTCCGATCCTGTATATCATCTGCTCTGCGCCCATCGCATCGATATGCAGCAGATCATAAAGTACCGGTAATAAAACAGTCGCATACTTGCATTTCATTTCCAAAGTCTATGCAAGCACGCGACTACCGTACTTTTAAGAAGCCATTTGTTATTATTGAGGTGCAGTAAGAACGATTCGGACCCGGAGTTTGGGGCCTAGCCTGGTCCACTATGTAATCCTTTTTATTGCAGTCCCCTTAGAGTCATTAGGCAAATAAAATTAGTTTCAGAATAAATTGTGCATCCCAGATTTTGTGAAAAAAAAATAAGTGTATCAAGAGTAGTGAGTATAACTCGGAAAAAGTGCGCTATTAATTTTTATATCAAAGCAAACTTGTATACATTATTTTTTATAATTTGTTATTTCAAAAAACGTCGAGTAATGCACGTGTTGCATCATACTGTATATTATTCTATTATTTTAATTAACGATTTTGTCGTTTATAACAGAAAGTTAACAAAATTAATTGAAATCGAATAATTTTTAATAACAATAAACATTTTATATGCACTATTCTTTTATAATTTGTTATTTCAAGAAACGTCGAGTAGTGTACGTGTTGCAGCATACCTACCTACTGCATATTATCCTATTTCTCGAAAACGAAGAAATACGTATTCATTAATTTTTAGAGGAACATTTTATGAACATTAATTAGTGACGTAGAATACATCGGTAGAGTTAAGCCAAGCGTCTCAGTTACACCTTGTATATCGATATGATCAACTTGATAATAAAATGACAGCTACCGAAATCTGTCAACAGTGACAGATAAAAGGTCAGCGTTAATATTACACCATCCTGGTTCGGGTAAACAATGTGTGATGGGATGCAGGAGGATTAAAAAAGATTTCTCGATAAAAACTGGCCATACGTTTACGTTTATATAATTGCACGCGTTTACTTTTAGGCCCAGCATGTCCCAAGGTACGGTGATGATCCAGAACAGGCTGGAAGAGAAGAACTTCACCGTCGCCACTCCGGAGGAGTTCGTTAAAAGGTTCAATGGAACGAAAGTTATAAACAAGGTATGTTTCTGAACGTTTCTTCTATTTCGACGCTATTAAAATTCGACTATATGTCGAATAGATAAATATATTTGTACATATAATAATCCACAGTACAGGCCCCCCCTGGAAAGTTGATTAGAGATGTTTTAAAATCTTATGAGCTTTGACCTTCATATGCGCAGAAACATAATTCCGACCGTCGCCTAAATTATTCTACGTCCTAAAAACATTACGCTTATTATTTGCAGTCTCTCTCGAGCTCTAGCGTAAACAAGTCTTTGATCCGATTACAAATATCATAATAAAATGCCCTATTCTTTATTATTTTAATTTAAACAATAAAAATATATATAACGANATTATTTTACTATTATTAAATAAATAATTGAAGCTATCGTTCATTTAAAAAGTTATTTCTTTTACATATTAAGGCAAAGTAAACTTGTTTTTTCAGTATTTTGTTAGCTATTTAATTATTATTTATATGTAAAATTAAAGTAAAAATTCATCAATTATTTTCAAATTATTATTTCTCATAAAAATAGAAAAAAAATTAAATTTTAAATGTGTGTGTTTTTTACAGGGTGTTCCTAAATAAGTGTCGCAACGGAAAACTGTAAATTCTTCTTGAAAAGAGAAACAATTTTTTCCTCTTCCATTTTTCTCCAGGCTTTCGTTTTCGAGATACACAGTGACAAAACTTTTTTTCCGATTTTTGCCAATATCTTAGAAACCGTTTGAACTACAGGACTGAGCTTTTGTACACACATTACCACTATTAATAGCTACTTGTTGCAAATGCTGTTAAATTTCGTTAAAATTTATAATTATTACTACTCATCTTTTAAATTACAAAAGATTTTCGAAACGTTAGCAAAATGTTTGTTTTTGTTCATAAAAAGTCATTTTTCTTGAAAACGGTTGACTTTACAGCAATGAACCAAGATAACTCTTTTTCTGTAAAATTCATTGGCGCTTCAGAATTTGCTGTCATGTCAAATGTTATTTTTTCCAGTGGCGTAAAAGTTAGGGGGGGAAAAACCCTTACGATACCTTCAAATCTCCACCACTGGCACGTTGAATGAATTCGAGAAGGGTTCAAAAAAGTAACTATTAATAGTGGTAATCCATATACAAAAACTCAGTCCTGTAGTTCAAACTGTTTCTAAGATATTGGCAAAAAATTTAAAAAAAAATTTTGACAAGTGTATCTCGAAAACGAAAGCCCGGAGAGAAAAATGGAAGAGGAAAATAATGTTTCTTTTATCAAGAGGAATTTACAGTTTTCCGTTGCGACACTTATTTAGGAACACCCTGTATATGCAAGAATAATGCACCTAGCATGGTTTGAATGCTTTTAGTTAGAATCATAGCGATAATTTCTTGTCCGTTTATTTGTCGGGTTTTTTATGTCTTCTATCTGTGATAAGAGCGCCGTGCTGAATTGGTCTAATACACTTGTTCTTTGTATACAAAAGAAAGCAGATTGTTATTGTGGGAAAATAAAGTAATAGTAAAATATTCCGACCTGTTTCCTTTATTTACCCGAAAATCTTACAGTATTATATTGCATATTGTGATTAATATTTTTTGAATTAATTTTGATTATGTTTATAAAATTAGTAATAAATATAATAAAAAAAACTATATATTAAAATTTCAGGAAGTTAAAATTGTAATTTTATCGACCGCATTATTTTTATTAATATTTTTTAATTTTGAGAATTTTGCAATAAATTCAAATGCTTTTTATTCTTTTTTAAATCTTTTAACAATAAATATAATTTGAAAATAATTTACTTTTAAGTTTTTACTTTAATTTTACATTTAAATCGTAATTAAATAGCTAACAAAATATTGAAAAACAAGTTTACTTTGCCTTAATATGTAAAAAAATAACTTTTTAAATGAACGATAGTTTCATTTATTTATTTAATAATAGTAAAATAATTCCGAAATTGAAATTTTAATTAATATTTCGTTTAAAAATAATTTTTGTGACATTTTTGTAAGT